AACAGGACGCGGAGCTGTGAGCGCTCGCAGTCCTCTGCGATATGCTCCACAGGCACTGGTCTCCACTGATGACCCGCCGTGACGGAAGTGCGTGGCGCGTGGCAGTGCGTGCTCCGCTTGGCACCGGCCAATGGAGGAGGGCAGGCGCTGTCGTCGCCCTGTTCCCCAGAGGTCCATTTGCCTACGAGTTTTGTCTCCCTTGCGTCCGGCGCTTTTTTGTGCGCTGGCGGCCTCACTTGTGGCCAGGTGCGCCCGCTGGTGCTTTCTCCTCTCCTCCGCTGCCTCCAGTGCATCGTGCCATCTCTCTCTCTCTCTCTCTCTCTCCCTCCATGCGGCAGTAATTTACAGGCTACACAGCAAGACAATCGCAGGGCAGCAGTTATGGCGGTGTGTTGGAGGCGGCGTGGTTGCAGTGCGCACTTTGGTTCGCGGCCCTCCGCGGCGGCGCCGTGCCTTGTCCTTCTGCTGCTGCTGCTGCTTCCGTTACCCCCGCACGGCGCAGCCGCCCAAGCCGCAGATCCTTACACCCTAGTGAAGATTTTGATTGTTAGGCAAAATGATCTTGGCCCACTCACCCCAATGTCCACCGCATTTTACGCCGGCCTGCGTGCGTCGCTGAAGACGCACGTCTACACGTATGCTCGCGATGTTCCGCTAGATATTGTCTATAGCAGAGCGAAGTTGGCCGGCTACGTCAATGCTCTGGAGAAAGTGATGCAAAAAGAAGAGGGCATTCTCACTCTTCTGGCCCAGTTCGGTGACGCCTCTGTGATGGAGGTGCGTTCTACTTTAAATCGCTTTGACCTCGTTTCTTTTGCCCCTTTCACTGGGTCGAGTGCGGTGCGTGGGTGGGATTCCAACCTGTACTTTGTGCGCGCCAGCCCTGCGGCCGAGCTGCTGACGCTTCTCCGCTACGCCGTGGCTCAGCTGCGGGTGCTTCGGCTGGGCTTCATGTACCTGCAGGGCGTCCTTTTTGGTGAAGAGGAGTATGAGCAGGCAAAACGTGTGATGTCGGCGATGGGCTACGAGTTCTGCGGCGTCTTCACCA